CCAGGTTTCTTGATCAAGGGTTGGACCACAGCATGTTTAAACTGTTGGGGAACTATACCAGAAGAGAGGCTGCTGTTGATGATGTCCAAGACCGATGCACCAACACTCGGTAGAACCTCCTGAAAGAAACGCGGGGGAAGAGAGTCGCAGGGGGTGCCAGATGGCTTCGTCTGGCGAACTACATCTCCGACCATGGTCTCGAAGAGGTGGGCAGAGGTTGCAGGAGCCCCATGCGAGACCTGGTGGATGTCTTGTTGTGAGCACAGACTAGACATGATTTACTGTATTCCCAGACCCGCTCCTCCATGGAGGGCCACCAGAAGCGTATATAACCGACTGTGCTATAACAAACACAGTCCTCTGGATCCCTGGACGGCAGGTGAACAGCGAGGTATGAGTCCAATAGATGAGTTTCAATGTTTGCAAACATTGCCTCCAAGATGTGTGCCCATCTTAATGACTGTTAGGGTTTGGATGTGACCCCAATAGCACGACAACAGGCAGGTATAGTGGAAGCCAACACTTGGTGTAGTTTATTAAAAGAGTCTTCGCAAAGTCACTCAGGGACAAGCATGAAGAAGCCACAGGGAAAATGTCCACACAGGAAATGAAAACCTCACTCAGGGAGAAAACTGGGACTTACTTAAACGCTCAGGGGAAAGCATGAGGAGTCCACAGGGGAATGTCTACGCATGAAACGAGAAACTGCAGGTGACTCCAACAGAGCTCACTGAGGTGGTGACGGCACGAACTTCAAGTCAAGTATCAAGTACAACTTTATTGTTAAATGTGCTGTATGTGTAACATACAGCACAGATGAAATTTACTCCCTCTTAAACAGACAAGAGAACTTGCACTGAAGAATGGTTTGTGAGCCAACTTATACCAGTCCAAACGAGCAGATTGGCAACAGGTGGGTGATGAGCTGACGACTATCAGATGTGAGGTGCAGAGCACCCTAGCTGAGGAGGCTGCCTGACTGGCCCCTCCCTAACAGTAACCCCTCCCCTATGGGAGCCACCTGGCGACCTGCCAGATCTGCTGGGATGGGAGCGATGAAATTCAGTGACTAGGGCAGGGTCCAAAATGAGCCGGGAGGAGACCCAGCTCCGATCCTCTACGCCGTAGCCCTCCCAGTCAACCAGATGTTGGAATTTGCATCCCTGGCGCCGGACATCCATCAATTTACAGACCTTCCACTGGGGGTGCCCGTCCACAAACTCGGGGGGAGGCGGGGCCGGGGTCGGAGGCAACAGGGGGCTGACGGAGACAGGTTTAACCTGGGACACATGAAAAACAGGATGGATCTTCATGAAGGGAGGGAGGTTCAGACGCACTGCTGCAGGACCGAGCACCTTTTGGATCTCATGTGTGTAGATTATATTCTGCCTTATCCTGTATGTAATTGTCCCAATTATGTTGTGCTGTGTATGAGTATGTTTTTTGCTCAATGTATGTAGCAGCACAGAGGGACTGTCCTCCGAGACAAGTTTCTCCTTTGGGAGACCTAATTAAAAAGTCAAATCAGTCAAATTAAATAGGGCCCAACAAACCGGGGGTTGAGTTTCTTGGCACCCGACTGAAGAGGAAGATCCTTGGAGGACAGCCACACCTTCTGCACAGGTCGGTACGCCGGTGCTTAATGACGATGACGGTTGGCACCACGACTGGCATGTTCCGTCGCACGGAGCAGGGCGGTTTGGGTGACCTCCCACACATGGCAACAGCAGTCCAGGTGGTTCTGAATTATGAAAAACTGCCGCGTCTCCACATGGTTACCTGCTA